GGAGCGAGGCGACGATCGCCTGGTTGCTCCTTCCCGGTTCCCCCTGCGGCCCGGCCATGCCGGCGGGCGTGCCTTGGCCCACCTACCTGAAAACGGTCGGGGCGAGTATGCTGGCCATGTTTGCGGGCGCCGAGGTCGTGCACAGATATTACAGACCTGACCTTGTAAGTGCTCACAGAGTCCGCATTTGTGATCGCTTTTACGGAGAGGCTTAAGAGCGTGCATGCGAGGTGAAGAATCGTCTGTGGCAATTTTGTTTGGAAAGATGCGTGGGGCAAAAGTCCCGTGGTGCTGCTGCCAAAAAAAAAAAACCACTAATACGAGCATCAGAACAGGAAGCATACAGGTGTCTTCTCATGGGAGCATTCTTCTAATTAGGAACAAGATACAAAATACAATCATAGTTACCTAAAATTCTTCAAAATAAATTTTGATTGTGGGAAGTTTTTTTGAAAGGAGCATGTAGAAGTGGCAAGAAGAGGCTATATTAAAATTAATTTTTTTTTCTCCTAATGAGAATCAAGATGCCTAAAGGTTTAATATATTAGGAGTCACAGTCAAAATTCTGATCATGGAGAACCAAAGTCCAAACATGACCACCCACCCAGTACAGTAATGGTTGATATGGTCTCCTGGCATCCTTCTCACTTGTAAGCCTGCTCTCCTCCTCCTGTATACTTTTTATTGTTGCTGTCATTTAAAAACACTGTTATTTAAATTAGGAATTAGCTAAAAAATCACTACGCTTGAACAGTCATCTCAAAAATTGATTTTTTTTTTGCATTGCTGTATAGGTACATTAAAGATTTTATGCATTTTTAACAGTTTCAACTTAAGTACTTCACTACAGGGTAATAGGCTGATTGTTCATACATAGATGTGTGTGTTTGTAAATATACAATTTCATCCCTAGCTTCAGTGTTTCATTTGTAAAACCAAAAGATAGAAGTGGTGAGGCTTTTTTTATTTTGGTCACGAAGAGAGATAATATGTATGAAAACTTCAGCTGATGTTTTAAAACTATACTGGTCACTTCCAAAGAGCCTCCTTTTTCAGATTAGAGGAAACTGTCCCTTTAATCAAGTTATTTTTATTTCTTCCCTTCTCATTTTTTTCAGATTACTTTTTCCTACTTTAAAATAGTCAGAAAGATTATTATACTCTTTGAGAAAGAGCAAAAATACAATCACAATGTGGATATACTACTGTTTCTTACAGGGTACATAAATTTACTGTTTATTTTTTTTCTGCCAAAGCACTGACATTTCTGTTTTTAAACAGAGTATACCTGAAGTACCTCCTAAGCCTGGAGAACTGAGAACAGAACTGCTGGGTCTAAAAGAAAGAACAAGCCAAGGTCAAACTTCACAGCAGTGATCACAATTTACTTAAGTTATGAAGACAAACTGTTAACATTGTTCAACTGTGTCAACTGGAGCTTTGCAAACTTGATTAAAAATGTGCCTGTAAAATACTGTACTCTTAATAATGTTTTTCTGTTTCTTGGAAGTAGTTACAGGTAGCATAAGAATAAATGCATTAAGAATATTGTTCAAAGTCCAGCAAGCTGTGTACACTTGTGACTTTGATTGCAACATAAATATCCTTCAGAACAATAAAAGATTAAGATTATGTTGGCCAAGGCTGATAGAATTTGAAAGGTTTAAGCTGATTAGCACATTGAAGAGTTGAACTTTTATGGACCCTCATCAGCCTTAAGCAGCTTACCTGTTTTTCTGTAGCAGAACCCTACTTGCCTGTTAGAAGTTCAAATTTTAAAAAGGGTGAGAAATCAATTTTATTGGACCTAACATATAATTACTATAGTAAGTTATTTGTATATGCAATAAGATTCCTCATTACAGCACTTGCATTGGACCCTTCCTACTGCTGTGGTGTTATGAGCCGTCTGTAATTCCAAGAGGAAGTTTTGGTCCACTCTTAAGATTGAAGGACCCGAAACCGTAGTCATGTTAGTTAAAACAGACCAAGTAAGTATACACAGATTACACTTAAGTGATGTACAGCTGTACTGCATTTGTGTCCAAACCTCATAGCTTTTGAGGCTATTGACCCATTACAAACATGCTGGAAAAGATAGTATAGGGGGCAGGGGAGTAGGATGAGCTCTCTCCTGCTCCTATGTGCCCCTATGGACGTTGACACTAAGCAGATACTGCAGCCTAATTAGGCCAGAGACTTCCTATATGGAAGACACCTTTGTAAGTGACAGTCATACAAAAAGTACACCAAATGAAAACTTAAATCCAGAGGGACACAGATGTTATTAGGCCCAGTTCCAGTGGAAACACTTCCCCCCCCCACTACACCCAAAGACAACACTGAAAACCTTGCACCTCAGCATGAGACCTTTGCATGAGAATCAATAAAGTTCCCTGAAGAGTCAAGATGTTCACAGCAGTTTTGCTTCTGTTCAAGGCTGTAGCTTCCCACTTGAGTTGTAGCTGAAGCAGAAACAGTGGTTTTTGAATTGTCCCTCTAGAGCCAAGAGGCCCCAGTCCTTCGAGTTACTCATGCTGTATCACCTTTGTCCTTCCACTGTTGCCTTTCCATCTGAGGTAGAGACTAAATCTTTCATGCTAGAAGGTACCATAGAGAAGCTTACCATCACTTTCATCAGAACCCCCAAAAGCATCCTGCTGCTAATGGAAACTGAGCAACAAGGAACACTTGTTTTACCCCAGCCTCCACTAGCACTAAGGGAACAACTGATGAGCACCCCTCTAGGAACAGCAATACTGGCAAGACAACGTAAACAAAGGCAGTTTCCTCAAAACCAGAATAACCACACCACTAGACAAAAAAACCCCAAAACGTTCCCCCCACCCCCACACCCCTAAGAGCAGAGGATAGCTCTTCCAGCATTGATATGCTTTTCCATCAAGCTGGCCAAAAAGCTTACAACTGCATGTTTGTGCTTATTTATAGCAAACACTTGTCACTCCACAGCAGGGAGGGCAGCTAGCACACCACCATATTGCATACAATACCCTCAATTGAGGAAGATGAAGAAGCATGAACAATGACCCTCAAAGCATGCTTTTTATTAGTTCCAAAAGTGAATCAGACAGCATCCTGAAACCAACCAAAGCATGAGAACTTCAGCTGTGGAACAGAGCAAAGGTTGCTTAAAGCAGACAAATAATTAACAGATTTAAGAGTTCTGTAGCAAACAACCCTATACTTCCAATAATATTCCTTCTGTAGTTGTTAGCTGTTTTAAAAAGCTCTTAAACATACAGTAGATGCAAATCACATATACTACTCAAGCTGGTCAGGCAGAGGTATAATATAGACATGTAATAAACGTACACCCTTCTTCAGAAGGGCTCTGAATGTATATTTAACCCAGTAAGGGATGTTTTCTTTACATTCCAAACTAACTCTCCAGATTCATTACAAGCTGTATTTTAGAAGTATTAAATCAAAATCTTAGGAGCAATTGATTGCTACAGAGCACAAGAGACAAAGCTGCACTGTTTTGCTAAGAGAACCATACTTTGAGGTGGTACTCCTATGTTACCTGAAACACTAACAAAGGACCGCTATTAAAGCTGATGCATTGCTAGCTACTGAACTACCCTGAGTTAGACCACTCAGTTTACACAGAAAGAGCTGTTTGTTATAAATACCTAGGACTACTGCAGTGAGAACAAAAAACCAGAGGGAAAAAAACACTACCAAGCTCCTATTCCTGGAACTCTCAAACATACTTTAAAAACAAATCTGTATGAACCTTAACTCCATAACCATGCTGATACAAAAATGCAGTGTATTTATTGCATGGGAACAAAATTATTTGGGCAATAAAGAGTAAGAGTGAAAAGCAAGTTTCTCAGGCCACTGTCTTAGAATAGCTTAGTTCATGTCAGACTGAAGCTCAAACTTAAGACTCTTGCATGAATGCCTAAGAACCACTCTTCCAAGTCAATAACTAGAGTTGCTGCACAGAGTTGCTGTACTACTTTTCTTCCTTCATAGAGGAAGGCAGAAAAAACTTCCATGTAAACACTTTCTACCTACCCTGTGAAGATTTGTTTCAAAGTAGAGGCACTAGTGGAAAAAAAGCAGTGCTTCATCTGACCACCACAAAGCCAATACAAGCAGTGAAAGTGGTGCCTCCAGTTTTCCTTTGTTGCCATATTATGCCATTTGGTGTCAGCAGCTGTAGCTCGCGTTAGACTAAGCCTTTACAGTGCTCAGTCATACTAAAAAGACATAGAAACAAGAGTACCAAAAGTCTGGGAACAACAGCATTAAGGAATAATCACCACAGCCAAGAACTCCACATTTAAAAACTTGTACAAAGCAGGACTAGTGTATTTGTCAGGTTAACTACACAGTATGAAGCGGTGTTACTAAACAGTAAAGAACAGTACAGGCTCAGAGATAGTAAGCCTCTTCTCCAGCTGTTCACACTAACAGCTGGAGATCATTCCCACTTGTCTCAAAGGCCACTGTCCATTATGTACACTGGGATCAAACATAGTCCAGTGCTACCCTATGCAGACTGAAATTCAGAACAGCTGCTACAACCACACTTTCTTTGCAACATTACCTTTCATGTTAAGCTGCAGGACTTCAGTTCTAACACAGTATCTATTTTTTAAATGCCTTATCTCATATTTCTCAATATGACAAAAGTTACGCAACTTCTGAATACTCATTCCACACAGGTAAGTTTCAGTACAGCACAGCTCACTCATATCAGGTATTCCATCTAAACAGCATGGCAGGTTTAAACACCTGACCTTAGGCATACAGTGGAAGTGATTGGAACCAGTGTGGAAAGGTAAAAATGACTGCTGAAACA